CTCGTGACCTCGTCACACGTGTATGAGAGCGGACCGTTGGGTCGTCGCTTTTCAAACGGGATTGGGGGCCTTTAGCCTTCCCAACTCCGTCAACAAGCGGACCGCAAATCTATGGCTCCCTCATCAATGCCAGCGGCTGGGGCTTCCGTCGGGGGACGACCACACGAGTCCTTGCGGGATCGCAATCGTGCGGACGAGCCGGGGCGAGCAGGCGCCACCGCCCGATCGCGGCAGCGGAGACACCCCCTGGCTTGCGCCCCCCCGCCCATGCGGCCTAACCGCCCACCTTCCGCGCACCTAACCCGGCCCCGCCTCGACGCCCCCCCATGCGGCAGTTTGGCATCCTGCTATTCGAGATCCTCACGGGCGACAGGCCGTTTGCAAACTTCCCAAACGCGCTGCTCGGCCACGTGAGCGCATGGAGTGGGGGAGGGGTTGCGGGCGGGGGCACAAACGCGCCGTGTTCCACCTCCCCTCCCCTCATCTGGAGACGCTGCACACGCCCCTTGTGGCTGCGTGCGGCCGCTGGTCAGCCGCCCTGCCTGACCAACCCTGTCACCACGCCTGTTCTTGCTCCTACGACCACCCGTATACCGCATCCCGAGTACACACATCCTCACCCCGACCGCCTGCATTCGCCCCCCCCCCCAAAACCCTGCTGCCTCGCCCTCTTCCCAACATGCGCCCCCCTCCGACACCTGGCGCGTCGCCTGCCCCGCCCTCGACCCTGCTGCCTCATTCGCGCCCCAAAACGCCTCTCCTCTCATGCGCCCTTGCAGGCGGTCGTGGTGTGTGGCAAGCGGCCCGCGTGGCCGGCCAGCCTGGGGCCCGACTTTTCGGGGGCGAAGCAGCTGGCAGACGAGTGCTGGCGCCCCAACCCTCAGGCCAGGTCTGCGCAGTGGTGCTGGGGGGGAAGGGTGTTTGGGGCCCGGAAGACGGTGGCAGGGTGGGGCTAGATTTGGGCGGGACGAGGGTGGTTTGGACTCTGCCCGCGTGCGCCGTCGGGGACCCGTGCCCCCGCGGGGCTGGGCGGGCCAAGCAGGCCGCGCCGCACCGCGCACGCCCGTCCCCTCGGGCGAATGCGCGTAGCCGCAGCGCCACAGCCTGCTGGGATAATCCGCCATATGGAGGCGCGTCTGGCACGCCTGGGACGCCGCAGCCTGAGTCATGAGCTCGCACGCGCACACGCGCACACACACACACACA